GTGGTTCTGCATGCTGTGGGCTTGTTGGGGTGTAAATTGCTATTTTGGCTTTTAGCCCCTAACATTTTTTACAACACAGACCTGCAGGGACTGTTCTGGGGCCTGGTTCACCCATGAAATGCTGTGCAAATGCTATGAGAGTTGCTCCTGGTTACCGCAGTGTTGAGCTTAGCTGGCCGAGTCGTGGAGAAGTGCATCCAGAGTCGCCCGGTGGCCTGAATGCCATGGGCCACCCTGCGCTCCCTCTGCTCCGCCAATGGATCCACGCACACCTCCAGCCGATGGATCCACGCACACCTCCAGCCCACCCTGGTTACAGCAAACTGGAATATCTGCTCCCTCTGCAGGTTACACTGGTCTGAGGGTGGGGATGGCAGTATTCAACTCTCAACCAGTTGGAGGCTTGGAGGCCACTGTTTGTAGTCCTTTATCATTGGGAAAGCATCCCCAAGCCTGGGAGTGAAATACACTGTATGCCAGCCGGCATCTCATCTTAACACCGATGCAAATGGCAAAGCAATTGCATTTGGTGGCAGGAGATGGCTGGGCTGTCATCAGTTAAACTTGCCTCTCGGACAAACTAGGTTTATGCTCGGGGCCCTAACTAGGTTGCAAGGCAAACACCAGAGGTACTAGTGGGCTGAGTCTGCACTGTCAGAAATCAGCCTGTTTCTCCTGCTCCTGGCAATAAAAACTTTGCCCCCCTACTTGCCTCCTTGTGTGCCTTGTTGCACAGCTCAAAATGACTGCTCAATACGCCTCTTCTCTCGAAAGGCGGGCTGTGGGTTTGAAAAATGTGAGGCTTGGAGGAACTGTTAATTATGGGATAGGCTGTTGCTTTTCAGATAGTGTCCCTGGTTAACAAGAATAGTTCTGCTGGAAGTGGATAAGATTCTTAGGAGGGTTTGTGCTTTATCTGTCAAGCAGAGGGTGCTGCTGAAGTTTATCTCTGCGCAGCTATCCTTGCTGTAATTACTCATTACTGAACCATTGCTTCAAGGTGGGGCTGGTTTTACAGTTTTTGAGAACATTTTTTCCCCTTAATGTTATGTTTTCCCCAAGAGGGATTTCCCCTTCCCCCACTTGAAAAACGAATAGGATTATCATTATAGACTTTTTTCAAAATTCAAAGTAGTTTTTCAAATGCACAATTTTTAGACCATCTTTGTTTAAAAAGTCTAATCTAAAATATGCAGTTTTAATAAGGTTTAAGTTCTCTTTAGTCATATGAATTTATTACCTGAGTGAAAACCTGAAGCAAAGCTGAGACTTTCCCAAGTAGAATAAGAAGGGGTTTGCATATAGGCAATTCAGTTTTGCTTCTTGGTTTTGACTGGACAGATCTGTCCCAAAACCGTGTGCATCATCAGTACGGTTTTGACTGAGCAATGCTTTTAGCTGACATCTACAATGGATGAAAAAGAAAGAGGGAGAGAATGAAGTTCAGCATCCATCGGAGAGGCATAAAATGTCTTTATAGATGACATTCCTGGTGAATAGGACTGTATGATTATATGGCCTGTGTATTTCAAATTCTGCTGGGAGAGCTTTGCAGTTTAGAGATAATGGTGGTGGTGGCTCACTCGTACTTACCTATTGAATTGCTTTGTGTGCTTAATGTTATTTGCTTATCTGGTGCTGATGAAATTTCATCAGCCCTATTGTAATGAGTTTAAATCTCAGCTGTGCCAGGCCTTGGAGGGCAAGCTGTAGGAAATGCTTCCCGAGCTGCACGGGAGGGGCAGCGCTTGTGAGAAAGGCATCTGTTGAGTGGGCATTTCTTCAGCTAAAAGCAGGATGCTGTGGGAACCATGTGGGAGCTGGATCCCCCTCCCTGCCCCTTGGCTCATGCCAGTTTGAGGAGTTTTTGTTCTTCTCCACCACTGACTGCTGCACACAGTGGCTCAGGCGCAGAGTGACTCTGCTCCTCTGCCTGTTGTGCTGCAGACACGGTGGGAGAACATAGTGCTTCATCTGCTGGGAGATGCTTCTGCTCTCCATAGCAAACTGTGCATCGGCCCCCAAAATCACCGTGTCCAAATAGATGAGCGTCCAGGGTGTTTCGTAAGCTGCAGCCAGGTTTCGGGTGCTCTCAGGGTCCCATTGAGTGTTTTTTTCATGGATCTTTGTGGCTTTTGGTGGTGCTTTTTTCTCTTTTGTCTCTGAAAAATTAATGGCTATATCCTCCTGAGCTCGCCTCCAGTCCTTTAGCTCTGAGATGGCTGAATCCTGCCATGCATGGAGCTCACTGGGAACAGGGGCTGTCTCTGCCCGGCTGTAAGCATCACAGCATTAAAGGCCTTCTTGCACAGCTCAGATAGATAGCAAGATCGTCAGCTTTGCTGCAAAACACCCGGCTGTTTCTTTGTGCTGAAAAGCCCCAGCCCTGGCGGATCAGTGGGAAGCGGGGCGACAGTCAGCCCTGTGACCAGGCGGTCTCACGCGCCCGCCAGCAGATCCACCGGCCTTTGCTGAATCATGGCTCACTGCTGCTGTGCCAGGGTTGCATAGATGCTAAATGCTCTATTCAGAGGAAAAGTGGAAGATCTTTGGCTGTGTCAGATGCTGTCCATGGAGCCAGCAGATGAGCCTGCAGCGGGGTATGCGTCTCAAGCTAGGAGTCCTCTCTGGATGGTGTCCCAGGAAATTCTTGTCTAGAGACAAGAAAGGACTAAATGTATCTTTCCAGAGAGATTGGGGGAGACACTAGTTGCTCTTCTCCAAAAAACAGGTGGGAGGAAGAGAGAAAAGGAGGCAGAGTAAGGAAACAGTAAGCCTCAATTAAATCCAGCACAGCAGATTTGTGAGTGGTTTGCCTCTGGGTCTGCAGTTGGGAAGCAAAGATGTTAATATCTGTAGATGTTTAGTGAACTGAGCTGGGCTGGGAGGACTGTTAGGGACCACCAGTTGTGAGTGGAGTAGGAACTGCTTCTCCCATCCATGTTTTCCTACCAACAGACAAGGCAGTGCATGGGGAAAACTGTACCCAGTGTCGTGTGTGCATTTGGGGCAGAGAGATCACTCTTCTGTACATGCACACACACACACGAGCAGCACATTTGTGTGTCATTTTACACTCATATTCATGCCCAAGTTGCATTTGTGCCCTGTACACTAGGTTAACATTATATTTTATTATTTCAGTGCTAAGCAGACCTGTAAATAATATCAAGTGGCAGCCAGATGAGACCAGGATATAATCAATATGATCCTTTGAGCTCTGAGAGGAGGGCAGCCATATGTCCAAATAATTAGGGCTCACCATTTTTGGGGAAAAAATTAGGTACTTAATTCTTTCCTATTTTATACCCCTATTTTTATGGGTGATTTCCTTTCAGGACAAGTTCTTGAACTTAATTGGTACAGTTCTGTCAAATGGCTTTGTAGCTGTCTAAGGCAGAAATTAAATTGCATAGTCATCTTGCTAGGGCTTAAAAAAAGCTGGGTGAGAGATCTGGTTACTAGCATTGGAGTTTCTCTTGCGTAGTTCCATATATCCAGTTAATTTATTGCCAGCAAACAAAACCACATGAGTTTGCTTCCTTGCTGCTGGTAACCTGAGCTTCATTGCTGAATTCGTTCGCTCCTGACGGTCATGGAAAACGTGCGATTACACTAATAGCTGGTTATTAATCACTGCCAATGGCTTAATTATATCAGCTATTAGGAAGTCAACTAAAAGCAATGTCTGTCCAACCAGCATGGAGAATAAGGAAAAACACAGTCCCGGCTTCACAGAAGCAGATAATGTTTGTTGGCGACTTAATTTCCTTTTGCAAATAAATGCACGTTAGAAAAATAACCCTGAATTTTAGCACCTTTCTACTTCCACTCCAGTGTCCAGACCTATTTACTGTGCCTCGCTCTGTACCATGGTGTTGGCTTTCTGAGCACTGCAAGAAGAATTCAGGGTTAAACAGCCGTTGTGCTGTCCTCTCAGACCCACAGCCAAGCAAGACCCTCTTCTCTAAGAGTGCCTGGTCCAAATCCATCTCTGGAGAGTCCTGCTTTACCCCTGTATGTCACTTTTGGATTCCTTGTAAGATGATCAATGTGGTGTTATAGCTGTGTATCCCTCCTGAGTGTATCTACAGGGGTGGAAGGCATCCCTTCCTGCAGCAGCGTCACACCTTGCCAGCAGACACTTCTGTTGAGTGACTGATTAAACTGGCAAATGCAGAGTTTGGAGCGTGCAGCAGAAGTACGTCTGCACTAAGCGTGCTGCTCCTGGTGATCACCTGGGACAAAACAGTGGCCGAGCAGTGTCCTGTGTGTACCAGGATGGTCATTTTGCTTGGGACATCTTAAATACCTGAGGAATTTTGATGTTGCAGCTGGGCAGAAGTTGCCATCCATCCTTATTGTGATGGATGCAGTGACTGGCACATGCTTTTCCTTGTGCAGGAATAATTAGAACTTCTCTTTGTTCACAAGGAACATTTGCTCCTTTAAATGTCTTTTATGCAAAATCCGTGTTTTCCTTTTGGCTCATGCCCCTAGGTGAATTTTTTCTGTCTTGAGTGTGGATTGCTGTGACCTCCTGTGCTGAGAGCTTGGTGCAGCTCTGCTGAAGAGTGGTCTGGCTGGGGCAGCCCTGGTTTGGCATGTTAGCACTCCCTTCCCGCTGTCCTCCTCCACTTGATGACTGCGGACAAAACACGCTCCTGGTGAATTTGGAGGCACTAATGTTAGATGCTCTGGGGAGTATTTCAGCACTGGTGTGAAACCTAGTAGGTAACATGTATCTTGAGCTGTGACCTTCCCTGAGCACAATGGTGTGATTTCAGGGCTCATCAAGAAAAGGGAACAAAGTAGATATCTTCTTACAGTGGCTGAAAAGGTGGTTGGCTGTTGTTGGCTGATTGCTTGAATAGGATGTTTAATGCTCCTGGAAACTGGCCGACAAACCAAAGTTGGACTCCAGATGAAGGCATGTTGTGTCAGGTTTTGCCTGATGGGTGTTTGTTTTTACTCTCCTCTTCAGGTAACTTTGCTGAGAGATGGCGGAGCAGCGTCAGGACATCACTATGATGGAGGATCACGTAGCTGGCCAGGAGAAGCACATCCCATCAGGTGAGCACCTCCAGGAGGAGATGGTGTAAAGGACCTGCCTTGCCCACTGCTGAGAGAATGACCGAAGTGGGGAGAGCAGGGCCAGCGTGTGAGGGGTGTGAGGGGTCCTTGGGGACGGCCAGGAGGAGGTGGTATGTGTGTCTGGTACGTTACCGTGGATCAGCCGGCTGCAGCCAGTGGACAGTGGGTAGCCCATAAGATGCTCTGATGTTTGTAGTCGTAGGAGAATGCTGCTGTTTGATATCATTGCCCAGCAAGAGCAGAACAACCCCCAGTATCCAGGCTAATGATGATCTTAATGCTGCAGCTTTGCAAATGTGTGTTTCTGTATTCACTCCTTAGTTCGCTATTAAAATACAGCACTGCTTTTATTTGGAGACACAGCTCAAGGATGCTGCTTGCTGCCTGCTTTTCTCACCTGCACAGGGAAATGGGGAGAACTGAACAGAGAGCTCTGAGAGCAGGGGCCATGCAAGAATCTTTTGCCCCATATGTCAGATCTGCATTTCTCAAGATGCCTTTCCTTTCTCATTCCACAATGCTCCACAACTGAGCTTGGAAACCCACGTAACGTCAGCAAACCTGGTGGGACTCACTCCCGGCTATGCTCTGTATAAACATCATCTGAATTTTCTTTTCTTGAGGTGCTTTGGACACAGTTTACACCAGATAAATGGATTGCCTCTGTCCTGGAGAGAATCCATAGCATCCATTCATCCCGGGTTCTGTAACGCATTTCAGTCTGATAGCTCCTCTCAGCTTGTAGCCTCAGCTTCGCACATCATAGGTTCCCAGGGATTTTGCTTATGCTAGTTTGAATCTTCTTTTCCAAGTCGTTTTCTCCAGTTCTCGTTATTTTATTTGCCCAGACTCCTTGCAGAGAGGAAACTTGTGCCTCTTGCCCTGCTCTTCCAAAAGATGACTTTCGCAACCAAGTCTTTGCACAGCACATTATGTGCTACACCAAGCCCTTTACAAAGACTTGCTGGTTTGCCATGATTAGAATTAACGCATCATGGAGGCGTTCAGCAGCCTGCTCTGGGAGGGAGGCTAATGGCTCCAGAAATGGCAGAGAGGACAACAGTGACTCAGAAATTGTACATCTTTTCTGCTTACGTTGCTAAGATCTTCTTTCCTGCTTGTACCATGCTTTGCTGTTTCTAGCTGTCCAGTTCACTGGGCTTTTCTTTTGCTGATGGGTTTCCGCTTGTTCCTTTTGGTGATGACACTGGTGCTTTTGGTTGGCATTTTCACGCTTTGCTTGCTTATTAGTTCAGGTGTTTTATACTCTCCAATTACAGTTTCTTACTGCTGTGGATTTGGGCAATCAGAGTTCGTAATGCACAGGCCATAATTCATAGCCAAGGACTTGTTCTAAGTATTTGAATGTTTTCCAGGCTATCCCCTTCAGATACCAGTCGATGATGGATCGGATGAGCCTGTTTCTGAAACATCTGAAGCTAAGAGCACCCCAACTACGGAAGGTGGGAGCTCTTTGACTTACTGCTTTGAAACCATGATGGATGGGGTCGTGGTAAACCTTGCCAAAAGACTTGCAATGCCGTGTTCTGGTGGGGTTTCTCAGGAGGAGTGTCTGCACTCTTGGACAAATGCTCTTCATTAGTCTCATCACAAGTGATGTTTGCCACTTTGCAGAACGAGATAATGAGCTTTAAAGGTGGAGAGTGGGTTGGAAGGCAAGAGAAGGTGAAGCGTTTATAGTTCAGGAAGTTGCTTGTGTTTTGTTTCCTGAAGACTTTTTACACAGTGACTGCCAGGTCCTGTTAGCTCAACGCAGCTGGGAGCAATCCCATGTTGTGCGTTCCCAGGGCCAGAGGTTTGCATCATTGTGCTCCCCCAAGATACTGACAGCACGTCCTGGTTGCTGTGTTCCCTTTCAGAGTTAGCTGTACCTCTTAGCAGTTTTTTTGCCCCCTCTGTATTTACATGTTCATTAGTACAGCATGATTCATGCTGGAATGATGAGGTGGGCAGAGTCTATACATAAAACAAAAATTTGTGCTGATGTAAAGGTCATATTGGTAGGACGCGGGGCATGTCTGTGCTGCTCCAGAGTGTTATCTGAATGCCATGTTTATAGAAAGAATCTAATTCCAAAGTGGTCTGGAGACTTTTTCACCGTTTTAATTAACTGCACTTTTTCTGTTCCTTTGGCTGCTTTAATCCCAAGTATCTGCCTCTTGGAAACTTCAGGTAAAGGCATTAGTTTGCAAAATTTATCTAAAAGAAAGGTGGACAAAGATGCTGACCAGTTCCAGCCCTGTCCCGCTGGCGGTGTGGGCTGACTGATCGTCTGTGAAGCGGCTCTGTTCCTGTGTATGTGGCTCAAGAAATCAGTGTGTAAAACCTGGCTGGTGCAGAAGGGGATATTGTCCCTCTTTTCAGTTGGATTGGGGCTGTCATGACGAGCAGACGTCCCTCTGGTAGATGGAGCCAGGTATCTGTCTGTCTCGGAGCTGCCCAGAGTGCGACACGGTCGCAGTGCTCGGGTGGTTTATGAAGGTATCTGATGGGAGCTGTTCTTTCCTGCTCCAGACCAGTGATATCCCCATGCAGATAGCATTGCCGTGCATGCAGATCAGGCACCAGTGGCTGTCTTTAGCTGTGCATTTTCAGACAGTGTTTATGGTAAAGCCTTCAGCTGCATAAGGAGTATGCTGGAGATGTGTAGTTTGTGTGGCAGAGGGGACAGCTGATGGTGTCCCTGCGATACTGGCTTTGCTATGTCATGCTTGGTTGTCTCCCTCCACAAGCACTGGCTCAAGGGAGGGAGTCGGGTGCTTTTCTGAGCAAAAAGTTCTTCAGGCATGTCCTGGCCTCCACAGGGTTTTGCCACTCAACGGCTATGTGAAAGCTGCATTGTTTTTCAGATGCCACAGCACCTTTAGTGGAGGAAGGAGACCACGAGGATCAGGGTGGTGTCGAACAGCACGGGGAGATCCCAGAAGGAACCACAGGTGAGGGAGCCCAAGGTGCAGTTTCATCTCTTGATGCAGACAGAGCAGAGAGCTGGACTGGTTAGTGCTTAAAAATAACACTGCAAAACCTCTCGCAGGCATGCTTTGCTCCTGATGCGTGCTTCTTTCTTCTCCATGGCCTGCAGAAATAATTCCTAGCTTACAATTGTCCTCTTGCCTTCCCCATCCTAGGGAAAACTCGCAGCCTTTTCTTTTCTCTTTCTCAGCTCCACATCTGACAATCTTTCTATCTGGTATCTCTGTGGTGGCTTCACCTCCCATCTCCAGGCTAAGCGCTTACCTGCAGATCCCAGTCATCTCTGCCCCTCTGCCAGCAGCCCTGCTTTGCTGGCGAGGCGAGGCGGTCACCGCAGGACCTTGCTGCTTGTCTCACTGGTGCTCTCGCTCAGCCTAGCCCATGCAGTTGTCTTTGAAGCGGCAGGTGAAAACCAGGCCACTGCAGCAGTTCTGTGGCTGCCGGCGCGTTTTAAGGATAATGCAGAGGAAGTGAAGTGGCTAATTCAGACTGAATGCTTTCTGGGGAATCACTTCACCTGGGGCCTGGTTTTCCAGGGAGAAATGCGGGTCTTTCAGAGTAAGAAGGGAGTGAGCTGCAGCAGTGCTGTGTGTGTACAAGAGGGCAGGAGCTCCTGGAAGAGTCAGGTCTGTATGTGAAAAATGAGTACGTGTCCCCTGTGCGTTAGCCACTGGCTTTTCCTGGAAGCATCAGGCAGGACCTGAGAAAGGTAGTGGGTGGAAATGGGCTTCTGCCAATGCCTGAACACTGAAACAAGCCCACAGTGCACTCCTTCAGGGAGCCAAATTGTCTATCCTGCATCCAGTCCCCAGGCTGCCGGTGGAGCCCTGGGCTGAAACGCAGAGCGGCTCGCCTACTAGCAAGGATGCGCAGTCTCTGGTTCAAGATCTGACTGTACCAGGGAGCCAGGAATAAGCTGTGTGTCCTGAACTCTTTGGAAAAAAATGGGGAAAACAGAGAAAGTCCTAGTTTGACTGTAGAACTGTGACATACAAATATGATTGATTAAGCTGGTTTGAAAGTAGTCATATAATAAATTGAAAAAATTCTGGTAGGGACAAACCATCACTGCTGTGAAGAAAATTGTGCTTCTCTAATGTAGCAGTATTCCTGAAGTATCAGATTTATATCAGACTCGTATTTACTGGTGTCAAAATAGCTATGGCAGAGTTCATTACAGTAAGCTAGGTAGTAGACACCAAGAAGGTGGGGCTCAGGTAAGAGTTAGACATTCATGTGAGTGCTGCTGGCAACGTAAATGCTAGGTGGGGGTAGAAGAGGGGATATAAATCCACAAGTTTCCCTGCTCCTTAACAGCCTGTTTTCTGCACCTCTGCCTGAAGGAGCTTGTACTAACCTGCCACCCAGGATGTACAAGTTGGAGAAACACTCCTCCAGTCTGGTACAGCAGAGGCTGAATAGATCTACCTAGATCCATTGTCGGTGTGGGTTTATTGCCTTTCTGATACTGCCCTGCTCATAATACAGCGCTGACGGGCAGAATCATCAGGGAGGTAAATAAATTCTCCAGACACACATTTAAACTTAAGTCTTGTTTTGATCGTGTTTTTCCCCTTCTTTCTCTGAATGGGGACCAGCTGAAGAGGCAGGTGTAGGAGCCACTCCCCACCTGGAGGACC